AACTTACATTACCTACTGGTAACTTACCGTAAGTTACATTGGTAAGTTACAAGGTGTAAGTTACATTTACAACCCTGATTCAAACTTTAAAAACAATTGCAGAACTTCCTTCATAATATCATTAACCTTAGTTTCATTTACATTCTCACTCCCTTCTAATCCACATATCCCCTACTTTCCGTTCTTCTTCTTCCTATTATTCAACATCCCATATAGACTATATCTTTACTTCTACTAACCTATCACATAATCTCACTTCATTTTATATTCTAAATGACTCCTATTATTTTTATTCAACTGATCACTATCCATTATTAATTACTCTTTATAAAAAAAATTTTTCTTCTAACCATCCTCAGCCTATCAAAAATAATACAAAATCACAAAACAATCCTTTTCTTATGAGAAGACTACTTATCTTCATTGGGATCTTTTCTCAGATAAAGCTGACCTATTGCTTAAATAAAATACTAAATTTAATAATATCTCAATCCAAGACCTCTGCATCTTAAATAAGTTCATCAACAAAGCTTGAGAGTTTTTTGCCTAAACTGTTATGACGTTAGCATTTAAATACATTTCAAAACAAACCACATCAGCTCATCACAATTTTCTCTATTTATGTTTAAATTTCTCAATTTACAAACAAATCAACAAAATTCAAAAGCTTTATTATCAATATAAAATTTTTTCTTTGTCCTCTTCTTTTCTCAATACTACTTCACAGAATCTCTTTCCCATTTCATCTACAGACTACAATTTTATTCTTAAAACTGCAGCTAAATATCTTATTTTTTTGAGTTCATTAGATGGCCATTATGATAACAACTGACTACTTCTATATTTACATGAACTAAAGTATGATATTCTAAAACTATTACATACAAACAACTTATTATCAGTAAAAAAGAAAATAATGATCATATATATCAATTCATTGAAAAACATGTAGATAATTTCAAAGATGCTCCTATCAAAATGATAGATTTTTTTTTAGAAAGAAATAGAAAAACTATTATATTAGACTGTATCTTGGTAAATTATAATACATCAGATCAATATTTGGCTTTAGATCCTGATGCTATCAAACTTCATACTGCATAACATTTTCAAACTATTGCCAGCTCTACAAATAGAATTGTTACAGATCTAAGAAATGACAATTTTTCTCCAAATTGGCTTATATGGAAAAGATACTATGATTCTATTAAAGACATTCCTGAGGACGCTTATGATACTCTTATAGATCTCCCATCAATCAATGAATAGAACAATATCATCAAATATTTATCTGATAAGAAAGCTCTAGATCCATCAAAGATTACTAATAAGCTGCTAAAGAAGCTAGGTCCAAAATGCAAGAATTTTCTCTACAATATTATTTGTGCATGCTTAATTAATAAGTTTACTTTAACATAGTGGAATTTAGCTTTCATATATTCAATACCAAAACCTAAACTATGAAACTGTCAACTTAATAATACTAGATCAATTACGCTACTTGAAATAGTCAAAAAAGCTTTTGTCAAGTTGTTGAATCAACGGCTGCAAGATATATTTGTCAAGAACAAAGTTCTTAAAGGACTCAACTTCGCTAGTTTATCACATCAATTGACACTAGAATCTTTGCACATAATTAATAATATTTTAGAATTCTACTATTTAAAAAGAAAAATGCCTGAGTATCACAAATCAGACATTTACATACTTTTTCAAGATACAGTATATTAAAAACATATGATCAAGTTAATATTTACATATTAAAGAAAGTTCTATATAGATTAAAATTTTCAGATTCTTTCATAATGCTTATCATCAACTTATTTCTCAATAGAAAAAATAGTGTCTTTACCACATATAGTAATACTGATTTCTACGATATCCTTGTTGATATTGATCAAGAAAAGGTCATTTTTTCACTTCTATGGGTTATCTATTATGATTCCTTTCTCTCTTGTATGCAAAATTCCAATTTAGGTTATACTTTAAATATATCATAGTCTCCTAATATTAATAATATGAAAACAAAAACTATTTTAACCTCCATTTCTAACTCAGCATATATGGATGATACAATCTGGATTACTGATAGTCATACCAAACTTAAAAACATTTTTAACATAGCACAGTCCTTTTTTGACCTTAACTCAATATAAGTTAATTTAAAAAAATTTTTTATAATAACCTCTGAAGCAATAACAAATGATATTTCATTCCACAGCATCTATTTGAATAATCCAATAACCATACTAACTAAGAAACCTAATGAATCAACTAGATATCTTAGTGTCTGAATTTCAGTTTTTTATAACAAAAAGTTTGTTAAACAACAATTAGAAAATGAGATTACTGATTTTATCTTGAAACTCAACACTAAGCTTATTATAAATAAATAGCTAAAATATCTCTGCAATCAAGTTCTTATTCCTCAGCTTGAATACTGCTCTCAACTTATTATTTTTTTACAAAAGAATGCCTTGCTCTGTTCTTTCACATTTGTACTCTTATCAAATATGAATTTAAATTCAACAAATACATTCCTAATAGTACACTATCTAACAAATTAGCACTTAGATTTAGCATAAAATAAATTACACTCCAAACTATAACATTTCACCTTAATTATCAATAGAGATACCACAAAATTACTGCTTTTTCTAACCACTAAAATTCATCTTAAACAAATCCAAAACTTTTTCTGATTACCTGATGATCCTATTACATGTTGGCCATCATAATTAAAAAATTTAAGATATAATAATTACCTTAGTAATATACTTATCTTTTATCTTCAAGCTCCTTTTTTGATGCAAAGGACTATTTCTATTGCTTCTGATTTTTACATCCAAGAAGGTACCAGAATACTTAACTCTATCATTTCATAAAAGAAAAAATGGATCCCTTCACTTAAAAGATGCAGAACCTTATTTCTTGACCAATTTATTATTCAAGAAAAATTTTTACTAAAATACTATGATCTCTCTCTCAAAGCCAATACTCTAAATAGAGGAGCTATTTCAGGATGGTTTCTTGTCTTACAAAACATTATTCTTTTAAATCCTGTGCATTCAAACTGCCTCAAACCTAAATACTGTTTCGTCAGTTTTATCCTGCAAGGTTATCACAACTGTCACTTCTGATAATAAAAGAAAATCTCCTTGAATAGCCCTTTAGACACTACCAGAACAGAACTATTACAACTTACTATATCCCAGTCAAGGAATTATTAAAAAAGCTATAAGATCACATTTTGTTCTTAATAAAGTAGCTATACAATATTACGTCAATAACTTTGCCTTCAACCATAATCTTAGATCAGTCTCAAAAAAACAGAATCTCATCAGGAGATCAAATAAAGTGATTATGTGCAAAAATAATTAATTGTAAATAACTTCACCAATTTTTATCCCATCTAAAGATATGCGAACACAAAAAAACTTAGAATATATTGATTTTTAGAAAATTTAACATTTTATTTATTTATGAATTTTATTGCAAATTTATGTAACTAGATTTCTTGCAGTTTCTTTTAATATTAACATCTGTTGATATTTTTCATAATCTGAAACTTTCATTTCTAAATATTTATATAATAAATAAATATTAGGTATATGTAAATTTTATTTAGAAACATATTTTACAGAAAGATATTAATATAAATTATAATCGTATTTATGTACAGACCTCTGCCAAAAGTCTCTGAATGTCATCTTTTGGCTATTTTATACTAAATACATCATATGACTGTATAATATTGCAGTTATGTAATGTATCTAATCTTGTTTGTTTGAATCAAAACCAAATAAAAGCGTATTTAGTTTATTTATTTTGATTTTTAATCAAAATGAAATTTTCCTTCTGAAAACCACAAAAATGTTTAAAGAATAATGCGGCGGTATATATTTTACTGTCAATGTAGCGATAGTTACTGAGCTATTACCATAAATATCAGTTGTGAATTTTTAATAGCATTTAGAACTTTAAAAAGAATGAATGACACTAGAACTGTTAATTCGAGGTTTCATTCTAATCAATTATCCTTAATTAAAGATTCGCAGCAAAGCTGGCTGAAGTGATTTGTCACAGTGAATTCAGGTTGTGATAAAGCAAATAAAGGCCTAACCAAATACTAATTATTTAGTACCAAATGTGTAGCATATCGTACATTAATAAATAAATTAATAAATTTTTTAATAAACTTTAAAATTTTAAGTTTTACATTAAGCCAAAAAGTGTTTGAAAACTTTTGACAGGGGTCTGTATATAATAAATTTTTGTGTTATTATAGCGGCTGATTGAGAATCAGCAAATTTAAAAGTTTTAAAGTATCTTGTTCAATAATATTTATAAAAATAATGAGATTATTATAGAGAAAAATAAAAAATACTCATAAAATTAATAAAGAATTTATACAGTTACCATTAATATTGTATTATATTCAATCAAATAAACTAGTATCTTCAGATCATAATAAGGTTCTTGAGTCTCTTCTTCAACGGTATCATTATAATCTTTTAAACTTTCATTATTTTTTAAATCATTATAGATATCTGCAATATCTTCTTCAATTGGAATAAGTTACATATTCAATTATTTCTATTGATAAAACTTTGATTAAGAAGAATATAATCAATATAAATGTGAAATTAAATACTTATCAAGAAAATCGAACATTGCTTCTTAATAGCTTCTTCAGTACATTAGATGTCTTTGCTTCGTGAATTTAAGACAATACTACAAACTGCAAGTGCGAATGTTACTATTGAAGGCTTAATACAAACCTCTCTATCCTCTTTAGGTATAGCTTTCATAATAATCATATTAATTATTAGGAGACCAAAATCATCCATTTTTTATATGTTCAAATACGCTTCAGCAACTTGTGAATTTCTTTTCCATTCAGCAATTTTTATATTTGCATTTGCCTTTATTTCAGGAACCTCAGGAAATACTTTGAAAAGTGATAACTGAATATTCTTGGCAATAGCACTTTAACAGTGATGCATTTTTTTAAGACACTAAATAAAATTTAAATAAAAATAACAGACAAAATTCATAAGAAAGAATAACTTAGTTACTTACAATAGCCATATATTCTGAATAAAAATGAGAATCCCAATGATGTTTTAATATTTTTAATATATCCTTTAGAATACTTTTCAACATAATTTCAAGATATTCTTTAAATAATTCTGCAGTAGGATATAAAGTTATCTTTTAAATCTCCTTAGTAATGACGATGATACCTTTCTATTAATTAAACAATAATACAGTATATCAATATATTAAATAATGTAAAGTCATTTTCAAAATGTATTGCTTATATTAAAAAAGGCGGATGATAAACTATCTTTATGCTGTAACTTTAAGAGAACCTTTATAATTTCATCAAATTTTTTATTATACTTTAGTTGATTTTTTTAGATAACTTTATTCTTGTCTATTTAATTTCTTTAAAAAATCTACGGAAATTAAACAATATTTATTACAATCTCCTATATTAATAATAAAAAATAATTATATTATTAAAGAATATACAATTTATATTTTGAACTTATATGATATACCAGTTATGAGTTTTTTATCTATTTATATTGGTACAATATCATTAGCATTTCGATTGCATTTTCTTAAAGTCTATGTATTAGAAATCAAATGATCCTGTAGGATGTATTATTGCTAATTGTGTTCAATTTTAATATTTTTAGAACTATTGAAATCATCATTTTCATTTCTAGATTGAAGTTGGTCATACAAATCCAAAGAATAGTTATCATTATCATCCTTTATATTAATATTGTAATCACAATTCTATTCATATTGATATACATTCAGATTAGAATAAGATATGGTTTTCATATTTCTCCTTTTATGATTTCAAAGAGAATCAGCTATCAATAAATTTTTAGAAAGATATATAAAATAATAAAATGACATTGAACCAATTTTGTAAGTATCAATAAAAATAATATAGTTAATGATACCTTTATTGGACTTCTTAAACAAATCTTTAATCATTGATGGCTGTAGTGATGAAGTTGTTGAAGAATTTTTATTGAGAAACAGGTAGCTGCAATGATAAATCTGAAGAATTTTTATGAGAAACAGATGGTTGTAGCAATGAATCAGAAGAATTTTTATGAGAAACAGTTTGCTATAGTAATAAATTTGAAGCATTTTTATGAGAAATGGATGATTGTAGTGATTAAATTGTTAAAGAATTTTTACAAGAAATAGGTGGTTGTTTTATTGCAGAAATACTAGAAGAAATATGTGTTCTTTTAGTATATGAAGCTTTAGTTATTTTGAAAATTATTTAATATATAACTTGGTCGATTAAATTAACAAAATAATATAGATTTACAACTTTTTCCTCTGGATTTTGTTAATGATATCATTTTATCAACTATATTAATATTATTTTTTTTTTGTATTTAAAATTACAATAATTTTAATAAAGTTGAAGAATTTTATGAAACTTGAAATTTGCGTTTAAAAAATGATTCGTTCATGAGAAAAAAAAAATATTTGCTCGTGAAAAAAAGAGAGACTATTTATTTAACATAAAACTTAAAAAATATCTTAAATAATAAAATGATAAATGATCATTATCATGCAAGAATGATACTGGAGCAGAGTTGATTACATTAATTTCAAGTACATATATTATATAGAATATTATGAAATAATAAGATCATTGATATTTTTAACGATTTATAATAGAAATCGGTTAATAAATTGATATATGAGTTGATTACTAGAAAAATCAGATTCCAGAAATTTTTTAACAAAATTGAGACTTTTATTACATTTTAGTTTTTGATGTTATTAGATTAAAATGTATTAAACTCTTAATTTAAATGAAAAATTTCTCAGAATCTAATTTTTCTAGAAATCCTCCCATATTACAAATCTTTATAAATGACATATAATATTATATTAAAAATTTTATAAATATTTATTGAAGTCAATAAAAAATTATTTTTAAAGAAGAAAATTTATAATTTTTTTTAAAAAAAATAAGAAATTTCACAAAATGGATTTGCAATATCCTTATAAAGGATGTAATCGAACCTTTATAAAACAATAAGGATTAACTCAACATATCCAATATCACTATCCTTATGTAAAAAATGAACAAAAAGAAATAGAAGATAATGTTAGTAATGATGATATAGAACTTTTTTAAGATGACGATTTATTCAATAAATTAAAATTATTTAAAAAGGACTTACCTCAAATTAAACTGACTAATTTTATTAATATAAAGATAGGTTTTTAAATAAAACAATATTTAATACAATTATCAATCATGTCTATTATCAACCTAATATATAAAATATATACTAAAAGAATATGAAAAACCTTTTAATAGATGAAATATTATTAGATATACAAAACTCTCCTAATTCTTTTCTTTTATTACAAGAACTTAATTATAATGAAATTACGGATAATATAGATAATAAAGACGTTATAGATGATTCAAATACAGAAATTGATTCAGTAGACTCTAAAGATTTTTGAGAAGTTAACTTCGAAGACACAATAAATGATGCAATTGAGAAACACATTTCACAATAGCCTAATGAGACTTATTGAGAATTTGCAGAATTATATGTCAAACATGAACTATTAAACTAAGCAACTGATTCACTTATTCACTTTTTTAATAAAAATGCGAATTTAAATGAGTTGCCTTTATCAAGAAATGCTAAAGATATATATAAATTTATAAACTCAATAATAGCACTGAATCTTAATTTTAAACAGAAGCACATAATTGAATTTGAGAATATTTAATATGATCTTTATTATCGTCTAATAATAAAGGTAATTAAAAAACTTTTCTAGAAACTGGATATGATTCAAAATTTTGCGTTTCAGTTTAAGGAAATGAGAAAAATAAATAAAGTAAAATTTTTGTTATTTTTGATAAATTAGCAATACTCAAATCATAATTATTTAACCTTAATATATTTACAGGATGGTGGTTCTTCTCATATTTTCACTGAACAGTATAATTGTGATTGGTGAAAACAAACAGAATCTGATTTAAAGCTTGAAAATCAAATTTTGTCATTAATAATATATTCTAATGCGACCTTATGTGATAATTTAGGTAAAACTCAACAGCATCTAATATTTCTCACTTTAGGTAATATTCCTTCTTGATAAAAAAACAAAAGGATACTAAAGTATTACTAGGATACTTATCAATCCTTTAAAGCAAACATTAAATAACCAAAAATTCAGAATATTTTTGAAGACTTTCACATAGAGTTATAGAATGATATTGGAGTATTATTCTTCATCCTATATTAAAACTAAGTTGCATTCTTAGAGATATCATGTAGTTTTTACAATTTATCAATTTGGAACTATCAATAGATTTATGACAGAAACATATGAGACCTTACATAAGTTTTATGTCAAAAATCTGTATTGTAAAAATAACAAAAAGGAAGTTATAAACCAGATTATAAATAAGATGAGATAATATATTATTAAACTATAAAATTATTGAGAATATGATTACTAATTAATAAATTATTTGTACTTAGCAAAAAGCATTAACAGAACTTGAGAGTCACACTATAATACAAAAAAGTGATATAATATCAGCTAAACTTCAAGATGTATACATATCATCATTTGAGAAACATTTGCAAGCTTGATGGTAATTAGAAACAATACATCCTTTATAACTTGAAGGAATGAAAAATTTACTTACCTCTCTTGATACTTTTTTGGATAATACATCAATCACTTCTATCAATGATGATGATAGTTTTGTACAGTTATATAAAAGTGTGATATTACAATCTATGAATATTGTTTATACTTCATTATATAATAATACCCCACAATTCAGCAACGTTATTATTGTAATAGATACAAAAAAAGCTGTTAATTATATTACGGATCAAGAGCATGTTTTGGAAAGGTTAGCAATGAATTAAACAATTGTTATTTACAAATTTAAATTTTTTCAGAATTTCATATATCTTCTTTAATATAGATATTATTATTGGGAGAATTATTTGCTAACAGCTCTCGTAAAACTGCAAAGTTTACTTTCGCAATGATAAAATAGTATGATTATTGTAAACTAAACTGAAAGTATAATGAGACTTCAGAAATTTATAGATGTTTTCGATTATCAATGTCAAAAGATTATAATGTAATACCATTAGATTCCATAATACAAACTGTTCATATTATACCAAGATTTCATAAAAAAAATGAATTCCTAATTAATAGATATATTTTATAACAAACTGTTTGGTCTTAATTTTTCTAGTCTATTTTTTTTTTAAAAAAAAATAATCATTGATAAAAAAAATAATTGTTGATCTGTATGTTTATATATTATTATATATTGTTAAAAATGTAGTATTACTGATTATTACATAAATTTGATAATATTTGATGATTTTTATATATAATGTCATTTTTAATGTAATGATTGTTGAAGATCTCTAAAACTGAATATATGAGTATTTTTAAATAAATAATTTTATTGAATTTTATCTAAGTTTTAAAATTTCTAATAATACTTACCTTATATGACCTCCTGATGCTATTTACTCATATTCAGGATGCTCTTTTAATTCATTAGTACCAATATTTAATTTCAACATATTTGTTACTACTTAGCTTTGTAGTAACATAGTTGATGCTGATACCATATGAAGTTAATCTTATTGCGTTACAAAGATTGATGAATAATCAATATTATTAATATCATTAGCATTTTTAACTTAGTTAACATTTTTATTTTATTTAT